ACACCAACATTTCAATCTTATTCTCAATTCGCTTGCTGACGATTCTCTTCTAAAAGTCGCTGTCGAGGAATTCTGTGCACGCCGTTGTCTGATCAATTTCCAGTTGCTTGCTCGCATCTCGCAAATCTACGCACTATCTGGTTTCACTGGTGTGGCATCACCTGGCACGAGGAAAGGAGCGGTACTATCTCGTATGGAGCAGGACAGTGCATTACCAGAAGCACCGGAGGATGATGCGGATGACGCGGATGACACTGCTGATGCACCTTATGAAGTTGATGACCTGCAGCAAGGCATAGGCACCCTGGTGGAATACTTATCTGACTTAGTACTTACTCGTTGATACAATCATTGTTTCGTAGTCGAATCACACAATCATGATGGTTCCCTCTGGACATTAGATTTTGCGAAGGAGACAGGAAGGCGAAAGATTAAGATTGAATTATCAGTGAAGTATATCCAAGGCTGAGAAAGCAGGAAGGCGAAAGATTAAGATCGAATTTACAGGAAGGTGAAAGATTAAGATCGAATTTATATACAAGAAGGCGAAAGATTAAGACCGAACTATTGGTGAAGTATATTCAAGGCCTAGAAAGCAGGAAGGCGAAAGATTAAGATCGAATTTATTCAGCCAGTGAGTCGAATTGGCAGTCACTGACTCTGTATGCGAAGGTTTGATCGTTAGTAAGTGTCTGAATCAGCCACTCTGTTATCGCATCATCTCAATGTTCTCACTGGCAACATCGTCTCTATTTGATCGCCACCATCACATTCAAGTTCTCATGTCAACTTCTTCTTCTTCCAGATCCAGATGCTATGTAGTGTTTGGTGGTTGCAACTCTGGTGTTTTCACTGAACGGTTTGCCTTCGCATACTATACAAACTAGATGGCTAACTCTTTTACAGACCATTTATCACAAATCCTTCAGGCGCTCATTATTTTCCTATTGCCATTCGTTGTCTGTCAATTGAACATGCCTGGAAACTTGACAGCCTCCAATCTATTATCAAGACTGCGAAGATCAATGAAGACACTTTGCCTGCTGATGCTGCTCGCACCTTTCTGACTTCTGACACTGCACATGGCGTGCTTCAACAGGAGCGCCACGAAAAAGTAGTCACAGGTTTCTATAGCGTTCTTTTTGGGTTTGAGACGGGTATTTTCACTACATGGTGCGTCTCACATCTTCTATGTCACTCCAATACTAACTGTTGAAACTACTATGCAGGAAAGATTGCCATCAAGCTGTCTCGGGCTTTCAGCGCCCAAAGTACAAAAAATTCATTTCATTTGCTGAAGCAATTGCATGGATGATCATGAAGGGTGAGGTCCTCGACACACTCAAGGCAAAGGAGAACGAAACGCACCGTCCCTTAGGTATGTTCATCATCTTGTTTGTGCCGTCTCATCGTCACTCTGTCTAACGCCCTATACAGCTACCCAAGAAGATCGCACCTTCATCGGCCTCCAGAGTTCACACCAATCTTCTTCCGTGAAATTGGATCCTTGCGAGTACATTCTCTTTGTTATTCAATATAAATACTAATGGGACTTATTACAGTACTTGTCGATGTCAACTTACACTCTGAGACGACGCCACGCCGTGTCCATGTCGAATTACCCTCCGAGACACCACGTCGCATCGTTATTCCAGCTTTTCCACTTACATCTTCACCTCAGTCTTCTTGTGCATGGAGAACCGCTGCTCCAGCACACAGCTCGATGTCGCTCGAAGCATCCGGAACATCGAAGCCCCGAGTTTATCAGGCTGTTCGGGAGTTAAGTGGAGTGCAATCTGCACACTACGAACCCCCTCCACATGATGATACCCCCATGCCTTCCTTTGGTGATCTTGCTGATTCCTATCTCCAGTCTCATGGCTTCACTCTCCGTGCTGTGCTTTGCATTGCCCATGCTGTAGACACCAGCAAATCTGGCCAGGAGTTTGTTGATGAGATTTCAGGAAGGGGTCTTGCCATCTCTGAGGCACACTGGCTTTGGATGCTCATTACTGGTGACGATGGTTTTTGATGCACATATATCTTGCTTAGATCTAAAGTCACGTGCATAGACACACTAGCGAACACTGCCATTTGTCGGGTCTTCATCTCTTTTTTGCTGTCGGATCTCTTTGTTTTGTCAGGTCTCTTTTTTTTTGCTTTATTTCGCACTGCTGCAGGCTATTGCAGTCATGCCTGACACTTCCAATTCACTTGGCCGCTATGCTAATAAAATGCGGAGGCTTACTACCAACCAGCCTCGCAAACCCTGGCATCAACGCACCAGGACTTGGTACAAGCTTTCAGCAGCTGACAAAGCTGTTTTGAAAGACAAACGGCTAACACACCGTGTTTCATATGCACAGGCACTCCAAGAGGCTCGCAACATCGTAAATGAACAAGCAAAGTTGCTACATGAGAGATTCGGCAAACACAGTGTCGAGTACTACTTTGGAGAACTTATGCAGCGCGCTCGAGTAGCACAGTCATCACGCAGCCCCACGCGGTGGAATGCGTTTGTTCGCAAAGAAGTGAAACGCATCAACGCTGGTATGTTTTTTCACTATTTCATTTGACGATGCTCATGTCTCTACCTACGTTAGAACGTCCTTCTGGCTCTCCATCTGTCAAAGCCTCACAATGCGTGAAAGAGCTTGCATCACGTTGGAACAATATGACAAAGGCCGCACAAGAGGAGGAAACCAATGATGCAGTACAGTCACTCGAAGAATTTCGTGAAATGAAAAATCTTGCTCTCCACAACGTGCCTTTAAATGCTTTTCAAGATGTTCGAAAGACCTTGGAGACACTTGATTGAGAGGTACTAAGTATTTTTTTTAATCATAATTCATAATGCTAACAACTCAAAGGCTCGCTCTTTGAACGCTCGCACAGGTGTTGAAGTCTTGATCATCGCAACGCGCTCCAACCTCGATCATTTCAACCAGCCGCACCTCTTTCACACTCAACGAGCTGCAGATTTTCTGGATGCATGCTACGGTACTTCAGCTATGGATGTTGCCTTGCGTATGGAGGCCTTCTGCATCGCTGGTGTCCAAGGTTAGCACAGAGGCCGTTCATCTATTAACGATTACTAACTGTAGTCTACTCGCAGGTGTTGCAAAGACTCATCTTCAAGAAGTTCTCGCTCTCAAGAAAGCCATCAGTGTGCTAATCCTGCAGAAACTTCGTATGTTTGCTATTTGGTCTTTGGTGTACGGTATCTAACACAATAACATAACAGAAGCTGAAGCTGCACCTTTCAAAGTCCCTCGTATTTACTATCAAAACTTCGACTCTTATATCACCGCCAAATTCCATATCATCCTCGAGAACTGGCCGCTCAGCAAGTTCTGCGCCCCAGGGGACATCAGCTCACGGTCTGAATTGACCGTGCTGCATAATGCATGGCAGTCGGGTGCTACGCGCTTTCGTAAACTGACAGAGGCTGAACTTAAGGATTGGGAGGATCAGCATTCGAAGAAGCACTAAACGGCCGCACTGGAGACAGAGACGAAGCTGGACTTCCCAATGGCAACGACAACACTTCCAACAGTGACAACAGTGTTTCCAACAGCGACAATGGCACTTCGAACAACAACGACACTTCCAACAGCAACAATGGCACTTCCAACGACATTCCCAGCAGTGACATTCCTCCCCCTACTACCAGCACCACTCCTCCAGAGACTCAAGCCCAATTTCATCAAGGATCGAAGCGCAAGGCTCGTGCAACAGGTGTCAGCACTGTCACCACGACAAATGGAAGTGGCATTGCTGTGGAGAAGCGGGCACGCAAAGAGCGGTCAGACAAAGGCCAGAAGCGCGGTCCTCGCAAGAAACCATGCACCAACGACAGCGGCAGTACTGCAAGCGCCAACGAGAGTGGAAGTACCCCAAGCGCCAACGACAGTGGAAGTGCCACAAGCGCCTCTGTCAGTTCTGTACACCAGACAAGCGCTAGCACTGACGGAAGCTCAGCAAGTGCTATACCTCAGCCCTCTTGACTTACATACTTACAATACTATGCTTGTTTCTGAATTTTCCTAATGAAATACTCGTGATTTGCCTTATAAAATAGTGCACTAAGACTCTTTAAATTGTTACGCATGAGGGCGCACAAAAAAACAGTGCATTTAGATGTAATTTACATTGAATACTCGAGCTCGTCGTGGACAACGACGAGCACGAAGGTTTAAGGACATTGCCGACGCGTTGTGACTCAGTATTACCAAAAATAGAATGTTTGCGTACGTTGTACTCGGTAATAGGCAGCAGTAGCACCGGTGTCCCATGGGGAGTTCCTGCCTTATGTTAGCAAGGGAGGATATTCAGCATTATTCAGGTATTTATTGGCAGTGTCAGGGATTGATGCGAACTGAGCTAATTAGGTTGGCGTTCCCAGGGTAGTATGGCAGCCTATTTAGGCAATGATAATGTAAGGTTGAGGTGCATTTTCGATGTTTTGGGTCTTTGGACTTTCCCACACTCCATTTCTTATCTATTTCACTTCCTCAGCACTCAATTCCTGTTGGATTGTTTTGTGAATTTATGAATATGATACTGAATATATTTGGAATGTACTCCAAGTTTCTGATTATTAAATTTCGATGTTTTGAAGGTATTGATCCCTTATCAGTAGAAATAGCAAGCATATGCAGTATCTCAAGCCTACAACCTATTTTGAACTGATCTTTGTCATACAAAGCAAGTATATATACTGTGATAATCATATATGAGCAGGCTGGATTATTTATGCAAGATTAAGACATGTAAAAACATCAAAAATGCGATTTTCTATATTTTAATTCCTGTAGAAGGATCCTATATGTGTTCTGGGCCAGCTATATGATATATCTACTCCAAATATACATAGAAATAGACCCCTCACCTCAATTAAGGTCCGGTCCTACAGGAAAAACTTTCACAGGGGGTGAACCACCAGGAGAGGGGGGTACACTATGCAACAGGTGATCATCCTATGGTCCTATGCTCCTGATATATTGTTCCTACTGTTGAATAGATACTGGGAATCATTTTTCAAAGGCTGTCCACCTAGAAATCATTAAATGAGAACACATTTTATGTTTCCTTGCATATGTGCTATATCTATTGATGTAGGACGCTTCAGGGGGTGAAATAAAGATGGGAATCTACTCATATATGCTCATAGACATGTTCTGAATATAATAGAACACCTCCCCACCAAAGGGGCAAAAATGCGAAAATGTTTTATAACCTACCCTATGTCAAGAGGGCCCTAGAGGAGGAGCAGGCACACAAATAGACAAAAAAAGCGGTCTATTACATTATATCATACATATATATACTAAACTGCTACTTATATATGCACAGGGATCTATTGTGGTGTGGTGGTGAAGCTGCAATGATGTAGGGGGAGGGTGGGAATAATTGAAATTGTGGGGATGTACCATATTGGGTCATGTTTTGGGTGTTGTGGAGTAAGGTGGCTAAAAATGCGAAAATGCGGAGTGTGGGAATAGTGTGAGAAGGCCTGACATGAGGAGTTGACCAAATGCCTGGAATGACAAAAGCTGAGTTTCAAAATTGCCAAAATTGCGGCAGTGCATATTGGGTACATGGTGATATATCATTTGTAATGGCATCTAAACTATTTGCCGTGGTAAGCCGACTCCAGGGATATATCACGGATTTACTTCAATGACAGTAAAATGATATATCATATTGACACTATGGCCTGCCATCTCACAGAGACTTCTAAAGTCACTGTTGAGAGCGCTATCTCAGCCAAAACCACTGAGAAATCTGGAGATGTGCTCGTTGGAGGCTTCGATGATGAAGAGGAGGATGATTCATTGGAACACCAGCTTGCTCGATCGACAGTCAAGAAAGGCCAGGAGCTAGCTATGGTGATTTTCCTTTGTTTATTGATATTTTACACTACTGATTTATCTTTACAAACTAGTGTTACACTCACACACGATGACTCAGATGCCGGCATATATGATGATGAGCCCAAGGCTCCATTCACTCAGCGTAGTGAGGCGTGGTCAGTGCCTCGTCCTAGGCCAGTGCCTAAAAGGAAGGCAGCAGACATCCTGGAGGTTTCGTCTGCCAGTGAAATCGAAGACTTTGACGCTGTTGCAAGTGACCATGATCTACTATCTGATGCTGACGACTATTCTATGGAGGTTGATTCAACCCACTCAGACCTCAAGCCAGAGACATCTCAACCTGTGGCCAACTTGAAGCAAGATCCTGCACTGCTCATGAAGACCCTATCAAAGTTGCAAAATGCTTGCCGCACTACAAATTCAGTGAGAACTCGATTCTCACATGAGTTTCCGCTGACTGATATTTGTAGACATCTGTCACAACTGTAGACATGGACACTCCAGCGCCCAAGAGGGTGAAGACCACAGCACCAATCAACGCTACTCCTGCACAGGCTCAACAGCCTGTAGTCCAATGCGACACGCCTGCAAAATCAGTAAAGCCCTGGGCGCAATATCGAAACACCAATTTACCTGCGCCAGTTCAGGGTGACCAGCACTGGACTAAGAAATTTCTTCCGACCGTACTGTTGTGGATGGGGAGTCTTGAAGATGACCTTGTTTGGACCATCACAGATGCAAATCTACTCAAGCATATTCAAGTCATGTTCAATGCTGTGTATCTGGAGCTCAGCATTCAGTTGGTCCAGAATGGTGTCGTTTTCTCCCTTGTATGTTTTTCTTCTTGTTTTTATGGCTGACTTATATATCTTACACCATGACACCTTTGACTAGACTGTTCAATGGCTTTCTGAATGGCACAGCAACTTGGGCTCAACAGCCATCGCAATTATCATTGATTTCCTGACGAGCGACAAGGAATGTGACCCACAGGTCCTTGTGGGCCTCCTCTTGAACAATTTCACCTTCCTTTTCAGCGACATGGACACATGCGATCCCCTTGGAGTGTACCATTCCGCCTTTATGCTTCAGCTCTTCGGAAAGGCACACCTCGCTAATATTAGCAGCCACGCCAATGTTCCTGCACTCAAGACTCATGTTCTAACATCAAGTGGAATGGTAGGTGCTCTATCACTTTGTGCTGCAGCTGTAAGGCTTCTTTTGTTCTCTCTCATGGATACTATTGACAATGTTCAACTTCTGCAGCAGCTTTAGCGCGCTGTGGAAATGGTTTCCACTGGTGATATCAAGGCCGAGAATATTTTAGCTTCAGCATCATCTAGCAAAACAAACATCAAGTTGCCGAAAGTTCTCAACAAGGTCACGGGCAAGGAGACCAATGCCCCCTTCTTGTTCTCACACGACAGGTGCACGAAGAAGACAAAACAGTATGCCACGTCCATCAAGAAGAAGGGACCAGCCTTTATTGCATCATTGACAGACATAGCGCAGTCTGGCTTGAAGGAATGTGCAGCCTGGGATTCGGCTGTCACAGAGGACAAATCCAAAGACGAGCGTGCTTTGCTGTGTATTTATGTGCTGCTTTCGTTGACTTACATCTTTACTGAATTTTATGTATTTTTCATAGAAATCTCCAATGGCACTATGGACACAGGCTGCTGCTGCTACTGGTAGCATTCACTATACTCAGTCCCCACTGTTCTAAACCCCGTCAAGATATATATCCTCATCACTCGCACACTGCTCATTCGCTCTACTATGCTGTCGTCATTTGCCTCTCGTCACTTGTTTTCTTTTAATCTCATTGTATTGTGCATGGTTTCAGGTCTACACTGGTACTACCTCCGCCCGCTCTCTAGTTTTACTACACGATCTCCATATATTGCTTCCTTAATTTCCACTTTTTCGCTCCGACGGCCCCCTTTCTTTTGCTTTCCTTTCACTACACAATTTCCGTATGTGCTTCCTTGATTTCTGCTTTTTCACTCGGACAGCCCCCTTTTTTTGCTTTCCTGCTGCTTTTAGCGTGCTTGTTGCTGAATGAGAAATTGCTTGCCTTGCAAAAAAAGCGAAATAAGTGAAAAAAAAAGTAGAAATCCAGACGACGAGTGGCCTTTTTCAGCTGGCGGTTTACTTATTTTGACCCTTGCTTATTTCTGCTTATTGTACAAGAAAAGTTAAAAATAAGTAAGGTAAGGAACCGGGCGTTTTACTGATGTAGATTGTGGCCAGCGAACCTAGTGAGCATACAAAGCACTGGCGTGCCTAGCGCTGCCTAGCGTTAGTAATATCCTTTCTCGCAACTGCTCATCCTCTTCGTTCTATGGAATCCTTCGCGGCACTTGCTTCGAGCACGAAGAAAGGTGCTTGCACTTTCTATTGTTAATCTGACGGGCAGTAGCGAGCTCTGTATTCCTCATGATGTAGGACCTATGCGCCAAGCAAGCAAATATTTGGGCTGAATGCCGCAAGATTACCTGGCAATTCAAATGGGTCAACCGACATCCGAGACTTGCGCAACAGCGAGACCGATTGCTGGCGGTGTACTCCTGGGCTTGCAGTCCAAGCACCCAGGGTTCAGACTTCGGGACACCCAAAACCATCGAGGTCGATCAGGCACAAGTCTCGGAATGAGCACAAAAGCTCACCGTGCATGTACATGTTTAGGTTCAGATAAACACCAACGAAGACGTTGTCAAGCAATTCCCAAGCTCGTCGAATGATGGATGCGTTTTCCGTAATGGTGATGCACCGCGGGCCAGCGATCAAGCTTGAGACTCAATGAAAGTGGGAATGGAGTTGGAGTCTCTGGGATGAAGATGTTAGAATATAGCAGCCATTCTGCCACTCCCCTCCACTGGCGGGATACGCGCCCAACAGCTGCGAGGACAGAGGGCAAGAGACTGGAAGATAGAAGCAAGAGCCTCGTTCGGTAGGAAACTACTCCATGAGTCTGCAGTTGAATGAATGTTGGCGAAGGAGCATTTAAAGATACTCAAAAGTCGGTAAAACCACGGACATTTCGTCAGTGCAGGAGATGGCATAATAGATAACGTTTGACCGACAGTGACAAACTTGAATCTTTACTGGGATGCAAACAATGACTCCAATCACGAATTGGATTTCAAATATGGAGTTAGACAGAACGAAAAAGTTAGAATTACAGTACTGATACAGTATAAATATAACAAGAAGATCGGAAAATGTCTATGCACCGAAACCATACAGCGTACGCCCTGACCGCTTGAGTGCGTAGACGACGTCAAGGGCGGTGACGGTTTTCCGCTTTGCGTGCTCAGTGTATGTTACCGAGTCACGGATGACCTGCGAGGAATCGTCAGCATGCGCATTAGGTATCAATGCAAAAAACGAACGTTTTCAAGGAAGATCTTGAGAACCCCGCGGGTCTCCTCGTAGATGAGACCGGAGATACGCTTGACACCACCACGACGGGCGAGACGACGAATGGCAGGCTTTGTTATGCCTGTACGTGCAAGTTAAATAAATGACAAGGCCAAGGACCGACGAATGACTTACCCTGAATGTTGTCACGAAGAATTTTACGATGACGCTTGGCACCACCCTTTCCGAGACCCTTCAAAACACGTTAGACCAAAAGCGAGATATCTTTGAATTTAGACTCACCTTGCCACCCTTTCCACGGCCAGACATTGTGTTGAGTTAAAAGTAAAGTGTGGTGAAGCGCGTGAGCGTAATGTGTTTGCGAGAGACGAGTGGAAGATAGAACGCCGAAATGAGCCACGACTGCTTATATATGAGCGGCGGGTGGCTGTGCTGAATTACCGTGTCCAAGTTTGTTGATTGAGGAATATGGTCCTGCACGTGATCACGCGACGCGCGCGTATATAGTGTACACCTCTATTTGGGGAATATGCTTATTACCGTACCACCACCCACTTCATTGACTATCGTCTTTACTTTGTGCCAATTATCCCTATTCATTAACAATGGCTCGTACCAAGCAAACCGCTCGCAAGTCCACTGGTGGTAAGTAATACTTTAGGTCTAGGAAAGGCACTCGAGCTCATTAACTATCAGGCAAGGCCCCTCGTAAACAATTGGCCGCCAAGTCCGCAGCTCGCAAGACCGCTCAAGCAGTAAGTGTTATCTTTCAACCTTCTAAACTTTGCTCACAGTTTTCTCAGAGCACCGGTGGTGTCAAGAAGCCCCATCGTTTCCGCCCCGGTACCGTCGCTCTTCGTGAGATCCGTCGGTACCAGAAATCAACAGAGCTCCTCATCCGCAAGCTCCCCTTCCAACGACTTGTTCGTGAAATCGCACAGGATTTCAAGGTCAGTCCCTCTTGCATAAATGTGATACTTCGCGGCTGATTGTTCGTCAGACTGACCTGCGCTTCCAATCATCTGCCGTCATGGCTCTTCAAGAAGCTGCTGAAGCATACCTCGTCTCGCTGTTTGAGGACACAAACTTGGCTGCTATTCACGCAAAGCGTGTTACTATTCAACCAAAAGATCTTGCTCTTGCACGGCGGCTTCGCGGCGAGCGTTCGTAGAGGGTTATGGTTCTATTAGTGGTTGGGCTGTATTCTATTGTACTATCTATTTCTTTCGCACTATAGTCGACTGGTCCATTTTGACATGCAATCTGCAATGACAAGCGGATTCCACATACCATTTTGATCAGACAGTCTGAATGCACACAACTTTGATTCAGACAGCACCCTGAATATCGAAGCAACCATAGTTTGCGTTGATGAGTTATTTAGATACGTCCCTAGACTGTCCCCAGTACCCCTGTTTAATGATTAGTTTCGGGTAGATCTTCCCAGATTCGGGCGGGGGCAACAGATGATCTGCTGTCTTGCAGATCTGACCGGTGACCAGTGCGTGCCGAGGGGGAGGACTCCAGCCGAGTCGTAGGCGAGGAGCCGCTTGGGACAAGAGACGAGTACACCCACCCAAACGGAAGGTGAAACCACCCAGGCATGTCAAATAACAGGTGAAGAAACAATACGAGGAACTGGAAGTAAAACAAGTGATCACGATGCAAGACATCGACGATAATTTATCAGAGAAAATGCCAAACATTGACAAGATCAAAGTAGCACTAACTATTGACTCAATGTCCAACTATGTATATCGTACTGTGATGTTAAATGTACAATCCATTATGTATGTAGTGAGATCGTCCCGCAATGTCTGCAGTTAATAAACAATTGATCAGTAAAGTCCCTGTCCAGTCACACGTCCATCCACCCCTATTTCACCCCAAATCATGACACCTTACATCCAAGCAGCACCCACAGCGATAGAGATACCACCCACGAGCAGTGCCCATGAAATACCCCAACGGCGAGAAGCAGCATTGCTTCCACCACCAGTACCAGCGGTAGCGCTGGCCGAGACGGAACCAATGGTAGCCGAAGGCGGAGCAGCATTGACCCCGTTCATAGCAAGCGCGGTGTTCGAGAGCGCAGCAAAACCCACAGCAGCTGGGTTATACCGGAAGACTGAATAAACATTTTTCTACCATCGCTGAAGTGAGCAAGCCGCCACCCAATAGACATCAACAGGCGCTTACCAGGAAAGTGTCTCCAATGATCCAGGTCGGGGCACTGCCACCTGTGCTCAGTTCAAAGAATGCGCCGATACACTGGGATGAGCTAATGGAGGTGAGTCGGAAGTCTGCGGGGGAGATTGGCCAGCTGGGCCCGCCGAATGAGATGGCAATGTTGACGCTGGTGCTGCAAGGGTAGGTCCAATATCCCTGCCAGCTACCTGAGCCAGGCTGCGAGCCTGGAATCTGTGCGTAGATTTCTGAGATGATGCTAGAGGGGCCACCGACGAGAGTGGTGCCGGTGTCGATGGCGGAGTAAGATGAAGATCCCGAGGGGATGGTGACGCTGCTTCCTTGAACGGTCAACGCTTTGAGACAGCCAATGTCAAACTTTGCAAAACTGAGCGACGAATGTACCCACATTTCATTGGTAGAATCCAATATGATGGCGTCGTTGGAAGGGACTGGTAATCAATGGTACCGGTGTAAAGGCTGCTGTTGACAAAGCCTGGCAATCATGCGTCAAATTGTGAACAGATTCCACGCTGAGATGACATACCCAAAGTGAACGATCCGCCAGGTTCCTGGGCATTGGGGCTGGTAGCGTTGATAAACCGCGTGAGTTGGAATGCCATGAGCGGATCTGTCCATGCTCCCGAGCTCGCCAAGGTCTGCCAGAACGGGGATGCTCCTGAACTAGCTATGCTCTGCCATCCCAACCCCAACAAGCCAGACACAGGCGTGTTAAGGAGGCCTGACGTCACTTGCGTGACGGCACCAAAGATTTGATTAGGGACAGAGAACCCAGCCATCTGTACAACGTCTTGGCCCAATGTACCTGCGGCGGCACCAGAACCGTATTGGATCTGGAAGGGCGTAGAAAGGTTGTGGAAAGTAGAGGAGGCCAGATCATCGAACAGCTGAACTTTGGAGCAGCCTAGGGTGCAGGCTTGATCTGCGACCCAGAGATCGCTACATAAGGTTCAGCACAGCACGAAAAACTTGTCAGGGGTAAAACTCACGCCGAGCCAGTGTCTAGGATGACATCGAAGGAGACGGGCGGTGTGCCTATGGCCAAAGAACCAAAGTAACTGGAACGAAAGGGTTCAACAAATTAATCCGCAGCAGAGATCACCGACCGACCTTGAATCTGCATTCTGGTTAGTCATCCTGTGTAAGTGATCAGCGATAGCGAAGTGGGAGCTAGGAGTCAATTCTCACAAGTTCGTCCCGGTACTCCTTTTCGCAATAGCTCCCCCATACTTAACGGTGAGAGTCTCTCGCTCGTTCTGTGCCCATGCTTCCCAATCAGCAGCGGTCCGTTCAGGCTGTCTTCGGATCAGAGGGATAGACTGGCCAGCAGCCGTTTCATATCCATTCGGAGCACCGGAGGCATTTGGTGAGATGACGAGCAAGAAAGACAGCACGAGTGCCAACGAGGAAAACATTGAAAATGCACTTGAAAGCAATGAAAACCGAGAATTTAACAGATTATGATAAAGTAGCTGGTGGTAAGAGAAAGAAAGAAAGTGGTTTGTCGCGCTCGCACTGCGAGGATGGTAGTACTGCGGAAGGCCAAGGTTCCCAAGGATTGTTTGGTCACGGCTCACGGATAATGCCGCGGCTTGGTCGGCTCCAAAATTCCAACCTCCTAAATAAACTATAATAGCTCCTATCGCTATATACATTCGAATATGCAATAAGACAATTTACTCCTGCTCCGTCGATCCCAGTTGCCAATCACTGATCCGAGCGGCGGCAAGGCAAGGCACTGAGACAGCACCCCTGATCGGAGATAGATCTTATTCCGAAGTTCGCCAAAAGTTTCGCAACGAGTTGAACCGAGTTGAACAATGGGCGGGAAGAAACGCAACGATAGCAGCTCATCATAAATACTTTTGACTAGCCCAAATCACATAAGGTAAATCCAAAAGTCCGTCCACCCTGAACAACCGCCAAGTCCCCTTGTCCAACAATCTCTCCAGGAACTCCCTCACGACATCTTCTTGCCTCAGTTCCACAATTACCAATACCCACGTCTTCCCTGCAGTCGAGACTGTCTCTATTGTCTCCGCGAGTGCGGGAAGAAGCGAGGGGTGGTATATACAATCGACAATCAGGACCAAGTCCCACTCGGTGTTGGGCTCAGGTGGCTTGGGGTAATAACATGACCGGCCTTTTGGCGGCAGGGACAGTAGGGTTTCCCAGTCTAACTCTTCCACGGCAATATTCGATCCTGGTAATCCCTCTGAAAGCTTTGTATTTTGCGTCCAACCCGCGAAATTAAGAGTGATGTTTTTGCGGATGAGTGGGAGGAGGGGTGCGATGTCTGTTGCCGTGTAGCTTTTCACGCATGCAGAAAGCGCGATGCTGAGCAAGCCCGTGCCTGCACTATCCGACCGATTAGAATGAAGAAAATACAACCGCAGACCTTGAAGCTCACCCCAACTCCAGTATATGGCTATTCCGGAGGCGATCTTTATCAAGTAACATGTTACTTGGAGGGAAGCGATGTTGCTGCAAGATCACTTGAGCGAACGCAATGCTACCGTCACCTCGTCGGATATCTGGCTAGCAGAACAAAGTACGCAGCATGATCCTACCTCGCTCGCCATAAGACGCTCCCCGTATCTCCTTTTCGACTGCGCAGCGCAGTTTTGTCTTGCGCGAGCTCGATCTCGACTGTATGTGGAGCCTCGTTGACACCGCGGCTTTTCTTCGCAGACTTGTCCTTTCGTGATCTCGACGCGGGTTTATCGTCAGTGGGTTTGGAAGGAGGTGATGGTGCGGTGAGTTCAAATCGAATGGACAGGATGTCCTTGCGAGAATCAACATGTCCTAGGCCGCGGAACCCATCTGGTCCTGTCAGGCCGAGTGGTTTTTGGTTTAGAGCTGTATATACGAGGAAGATCTGCGACGATCATAGATTTGAATCTCAACTTAAGTGAATTAAGCTGACCTCTTCGTCTGCATTCGTCACCGGCTCAGTGCCATCTGGGAGCTTCAGTAGATTTAAGGACATGGTATATACAGTCGAACAACAAATACTAAGCAGAGTCACTATGATAGCTATCCCAGGAAAAAATAGGGCCAAACAACCACTGTAACGTCGCGTAATCACTTCGTTTCAGGTGTTGGTTCTAAGTTCCTGCGGCTCGCCGGAAGATCACCAACAGTTGATAGCGAGACGATGCGTCGCATTCCCGGGGCCCCTAGAGCTAACTGTCTCACAGGCATAGCCCAACCTCACACGTTGTGCCGTATACTGCGATAGCTGGACTTTGAATTTTCTCATCGCACAGTGGCACGCACACACGTCGGAGTCACTGAACATCGTGACATATACACGCACGGACTACACTCTAATACACACGCGACTCGTAAGCACTCTCTAGATCTCTGTTCATCGTCTGTAGCTAAGTACGCCACTTCCTCAAACCTAAAATACATCGACACGTCTGACGCGCACCTCTCTACTTCAAAGATTCACTGCTACTAGACACAATTCAAGCATTACTAGCTCCTCTTGTGCTCGCGAATTTTGCATACCATGCCCGCCTGGACTATTCTCCCTCCAAACAAGGAGAACCTCGATCAGGACTATTGTCATCCTATACTCATGAAGTTATTTCGTGTGATGAAAACAATCTATAGGCTTTTGGACCCGCAAAATGAACCATCAAGGGTTCATGAAGGAAAACATATCGCGATATTTGGTTATGCAGATTCGGAAGAAATGAGCGAATCTTCCGTGCTATCAAGCCTTTTCCATATATCCACTCAGACTTCTCCGCGCTTTGCTCTCTTATCTCGGGACATGCAAATCGAGGACAGGGTGCAAAACCTTCATATACCCGTCCCGCTTGAGCTCGTGCCGGTCGTGACGAACATATGCAATTTCGCTCTTGCGAGGTCACAGATTTCCGGAGACACAGACGAACCAGAATGCGACGTAGCACATCAAGTATGGCAACGAGTTCAAATACAGGTGAGCACTGATATATAGTAATCTATTTGTTTTAATACAAATCATTGGTGGCAGAAATATCACGAGCGCCTTTTGAAATCAGGTTCTACCGACTCTCCAGATGATGATCCTCAATGTACTTTGTCGATCGAGTCTCAGTCAATGCGGGATTTGTCAGATAGCTACGTGTCCTTCGATCGCCTGCATCGGATGTACCCTGCCTGTTATGCACTGGCAGCTGTATGCCGAAGGACGCTGCTGGTATAGTGAAGATATCTGCATTGAGTGTGTCAACGGCGGCACAACATGCATGTGCGGAGAAGCCTGGATGTGCGACCTCTGCACAAAAAGGAGGTCTACAGTCTTTTGCCGTTGTTTACGCTGTGATGGGCCATTTTGCGAGGATTGCTCATATATTGAGGGATGTTGCCGTTGTGGGGTTTCGAATCTCTGCGCCGAAGAAGCCTCGGAGAATGTATCGAAGGAAATCTTCGTTGAATTCGGCCCGTGCAGTAAGTGTACTACTCGCATTTGTAAACCCTGCGTGGAAGTGCGGGTGTGTGCTAGTAGAGTGAGTGCTATCGTGAGTGGGCTTAAGTATTTCCAAGGCGGGTTCATATACGAGGTAATAACCATCGATGGCGATGTACACAATCTTGAACCCGAAACATGAACAGCTCTCAGAATACAAGTCTTTTGTGTTGGAATTCATGCGCGTGATGAGTCTGAAGGTTTTAGCTACAAGGGCGCGACCTCTCAATTGCATGTACACAGGTCGTTGTTGCCTTCCAAAACAGGCGTAACGCGAAGGTTGGCGCTACGATAATTCTTCCACGCACAGACCATCAACAGAAATTATATAAACCTGTCCTCGAACTTTTTTGGTTCTTCAGAACATACTCAGCTAGGATCTATTTTATAGAAACTAACTCGAGTCTCGCATGTTTACTCATGCCACATCCTTCAATTCCGCTGGATGACACCAGCGCTCACTCGTTCGACAGAGAACATGGTCTCCGCTTGCGGGGATCTCGAGGACGTTTGGGTTTGTGCGTTGTCGGGCTGCTTGCAGCTTGGTGAAGCCGGACCCAGCGAGTGGAGCGTCTGTCTGACGGAACTTCGGGATGACGCATGTATCATGCTTGTATGTATTAGAATGGTGGCCAAATTGTACAAGTGATGTTGCTCGCAAATATTGATATGCAAGTGTGTCGGAGTCTCGCCTGTTTCAACGCGCTAAGGTTGCTAGAGGCACTTCAATATCGCGTCGGTACCTCGGTTGGGTTTTACCTCGCAATAGCTTTATGCTCATCACTCGTTTCAATCTTCAAGACATGCAATGGGCAGCTATATTAGAAGGAATGACCATCTTCCTCTGTCTATATAGGGGAGACTAAGTGGGCAGCGACGTTGTCGTTCTCGAAGGTTTTTAACCCAGTTACCCAAAATTGATCCTCGACAAGGTTGTTGACAGGAATCCTGTGGATCATCGACGCATCGTGCTTGGCTCTAAGAGCATTTTGCACAAGATTTTAAAGTCTTGGATCCTCATGCCAATCTGCCATCATGGGGAATGGCTTCTCCAAGGATCAAGGCAAGCAAAAGGCAACTAGCGACACTGAACTCAGCCCTACCAAGAGATTGCTCGTGACAATGGGTCGATGACGATCGAGAGGATGTGGTAAGTCCATCCTTAGTCCAGCAAGTAGTTGCGGGTGCTCATCAAATCGTGCCAATTCTGGGTGACTGGGTTAAATTGTAACAGGTGCCAACCTTGCGCTCTGGAATACGTTCAGGGCAGTCGAAATCATTGGAATCACGGACTGGCGGGACCGAGCGCCGTTATATGCTTGTTCCTGTTCTCGTTAAAATTGTATCTTGTCTGTCAGGACAAGGAATTCGTCGGATTCCCGCGACGGGACAAGTACGTCATGATCTAGACTCGCCAATTTCTGTGACGTTAACCGCGTGTGTAGTAACTTGACAAGTGTCTACCTTGCATGTTTGCATACACAGCCCACCCGATAGATGACCACGAGGAACATTTAACAAAGGGCTGGTATATATATAGTACTGCCCCAGATGTTCTCAGCAACACCCTTCCTTTGTTGTACTTTGTCTCATCATCATGAATACTAGTGAAACGCAGGAGATGTGAGTACTACTCGCACTAGATTTACTAGCCTAGTACGTGTCTTGATGGCGACTCGACATTCCCAGTTGGACGCACTCGAGTGCACTTGTTGTGGCAAACAGTACAAGGGCTTTTTATATTTGCCCTCAGGACGATAACATCATATTCTAGGTATCCTGTTGTACGACCATATGGCGACCCTCACAGAAGAAATCACTTTCATTTGGTGTCGCCCCAAAGCACTATCTGCGATGTTATTTCTGGTCAATCGCTACGTCGCTCTGGTCAGCAATGTCTATGGCTTAATTATCAACTTCCTGCCCGTTTCACATGAGGTGAGGTTCTGTGATTTCGTCGTGCATGTACCCAACTGGCAAGCTCACAACTCATTTCCACAGAGGTTTCAACTCTAGTTCATGATTTGTCGTTTCGCTCAAAAAAAATTAGCTGTTCGAAATATTTGGTATCCAGAGAACTGCTCATTTTTCTTCAACAAGGCATCGTCTGCGGTGAGTAGAATTATACGGCGAGAACGACATATACTGAAATTACCAGTCATATTGACCCTTCGCACTTATGCTCTCTACGGCTGTAGCAAGCGCCTGCTTATTTGGATGGTGATCATCGTTCTTGGTCTTGCGGGAGTAGCTTCTGTACGTGTTCGCATAGAGTTTTGTACTCTGTGAGTCTGCTAATCGTTTCTAGGCGGGGATGTTTGCACCTTATTCAAGCACTACGATCGACGTGCCCGGAGTTAACTGCTATGAATCAAATAATACAGCAGAGACGTACGCCATCTTCACTGTTTTGCGCGCCCACTCAAAAATTGTTGCAGAGCCGTCAGTCAGTGAATTCTGAGTGACATTCACATGCAACCTGATATCATGACTTTATCAAATTGCAGGTCCCGGGCTGGCATGGGTGGCACTATTTGTCTATGAATCGATCATCTTTGTCCTCACGGTGTTCAGGATATGCAAAACTAGAGGATCGCCGCGGTTATCACTGATAATGTCCAGGAGAAACATTCTTGATATCATATTTCAAGATGGTAAATTTTCTGTTGCATCGGTATCGCAAATATTAATCCAAGCAAACGCAGGTGCGATGTATTTTGCGTGAGGTTGCTGGTGAAAACGCTATTCGAGTGAATCTGATCCGCATTCCTTCAGAGCGATGACACTCTTTAATATACCAAACATCCTGACTTTCTACGTGAGTCAACGAACGAAATATTGGTTGGATCGCACGCTCACATTATGTTTCAGTGTGCTTCAGTGAGCACACACCCGCATCGAATTAGGTTGACTATTTCCTGACGATTGGCAAGGATATCACCAAAAGTAGTCTGGCTACCTTCACTAGCTGGTGAGTGGTTAGTGCCATAAAGACGGATCGATTTCTGATTATACCCTCCAGCATGTCCGTGACTCTCATCTCTCGGCTGATGCTTAACCTGCACAAATTTGTCGACACTGGCATTTTCTCCACCATCATCCGGGACAACGACCCCGGCTCCACTGTCTTTTCCACCAGGATTTCCGTCAACACACAGTCCGCGATCTTCTTCTCGCCATCAAATTCACTAGGTTAAATATAATAAACGTTCTGTCTCTGGATGCCAAGATGCGGAGACTCTTGTCGAGGAAAGCTGTTTTCTTGTTAATTCTTGGAGCCATGCCCTATGTTAACGGTATATATTACATTACACTTATTATGTATGTTAATAATCTTGGCTCTCGACTCGTACAGTGCTGAGCTTCTTGGTCTAATGTACTTACTCCACGTTTGTGTAATTTTCTAGACGAGCCCTGCCTGCATAATGAACCGCGTCCATAGGAGCGCGCATTTGAAACAATCAGATAGAAACCGTCAGATGGCACTAGACCAGTGTGGGGCTTTGGCCCCCGGGGTAGTACCCGTAAGCTCAAGGTCAGGCAGCCCATTAAAATGAAAAAGCGAAAAACACCTTTGGCCATTTGTCTCGTAAGTACAATCCGCTGATACAAGTCGATATATTCCAGTTAAGTAAGATGTGTCAAACCTGAGATAGAGCACACGCCTCGCTTTCGCCCTCATCGTCACTCATCCACCATTTCCTTTCCTGCTCCCGAACCCTGTTCATCCCCCGCACCTGCTCAGAGACATGCGTCCACCTCTCAGCATATATCCCTGCATTGAGGCGCCGACTCATCGGCACCGAATCCCATGCGACGATGGTGGTGAGGTTCGGGAAAATGTCAGAGAGAAATGCTGCGACTGCTACAGTCGCGCGGACGTCGATAAGGGAGTCGGCGAGACCTAATGTTTGTACAGCTATATTTTCGAACCCTTCTCCCGGACGGTCTGATGGCACCTCTGTGAACGCATCCGTGTTCAGGGCGATGCAAAGCTTCTGAAGATTAGGACAAAATTCGAGCATCGCGAGGAGGCCTATCTGAGTGATGCCGGACTTGACGCGCCATCCGGTGTTGTCGTTGAGGGAGAAGGAATAGAGATGAGGCCATGAAGAGATCAACGACCTGAGGTCGTCGTCGCTTAGGTGTATACCGTGATTGACATCGATGTCTATCCTGCCCAGACTTTCGAAGAAGCTAAGGGGCATAAAATCAAGTAAAGTGAGAGTGTGAAATGTAGGAGGTGATCCATAGCTCAATGCTTGAATGCCCATAGGCATAACATTAAATGGATGTGGGGGAAGCGGAGCATAGAGGCTCAAGCCATGGGGGAGTTGGGCCATCATATTGATGGGAGGTGCCATGAGAGATGCTGTATTAGCTTGGAGCTGTGGATACGGGAATGCGTGTACTGGCGTGACCCGGGGACTTGACGGAGTCATCAATCGCAGGCTCAAAGATTGCAATCGAGTACTCGAGAACCGCCTGAGAGTGGTAAAAAGCGAACTGACACAAGTAGGTGGTGGATTGGTGTCCACCAGCATGTGCAGAGAAACGGGCGATCCTCCAAGCTTGTTAAGGAATGCGCATAGGAAAGACAGATTCGCTGTATGAATCTCGAAATCGCGGACACAGGAAAATGCCCCTGAAGGCAAAGTCACATCCAGCCCGAGTCGCATGTTACTGGGCGTATCGAATGAAAGCTTGCGAAGAGTTGATTGCTTGGCAAGATGCGCAAGTGTAGTACCGTCTATTGCTCCACATTTGATCTCTGTGAGGTTGCTCCATGCGCAAAGGGCCTCTGATATAGTGGAAACATTGTGACAGAAGGCGTTGGTGGGCAGGGTCACCCGTGTAACATTGGGACAAAGGTAGGGCAGCGAAGCCAATATACCGAGCTCGGTTATATGCCATATACGACTATCATTTGAAATGTTTATCGTTAGGGAAGTGACTGTTGGCCCGGAAAGCGTGCGAATGAACGAGAAAGTCTCAGCTCTCTCGTCATTCCAGATGATTGACTTCAAATTCGGGAACACAGGTGATGTGGTCGGGGGGTTGCAGAGAGTACGAATGATTGAGACGTCTACCGGTCGAGTAGGGTCATGGACGTATAAGTGCTGAACACGGCGTGCAAAGCCCCAAAGTGTTTCCCATTCTGCCATTTTGAGTGGCCTCCGAAGCATTAACGGTCGTCGTGGCCTTGCCTAAATACTCGAAGCTCAGATCACCTGGCAAATGATATATCTAGGGTGAGGAACTCACCGGCATCACCGCAGCATCCTCGGTGATTAGATCCGATGCTAAGGGTTGTAGTAATGGCGCGAGGCCATTTAGTTGTGACCATAGAGCGCTGGTGGCCACATGATAGAAAACCTTGGACGTTCTAGCGAGAGAAGCAAGCGTTCTTCCTGCAATGCTGCTGGGTTCATCGCGCACGTGTTCACATATAATTGAGAGAAGCTCTTGGATAAGGAAAAGCCTGTGCATTCGCGCGTGCTGTGGTGGTGAATGTAGCATTGTTGCAAGCGTGTCGATGTATTGAAAGACGCTATCGGCTTCCTTCATTTCTGTCTGTCTCAGTTAGATTACGCGCGAGTATACTGAGATTATACGATCAACCGATGCGTTGGAGGACTGAGCGTCTGACGCGTCAGGAACTAGTAGGTTTAGAGGAAGAAGGGTTCCCGAGTAGGAACTGAAGCAGCTTTTACTTACATGGGTATTTATATATTAGGGTTTTTGTATCTCACATTCATTTTCGGTCCCGCGACCGATTACTTTGATAGATCAGTCTCCCCCCAGCGATATCATCCAAAGCAGCTACGCACAGATTCCAGGAGCGCTCGCAGCCCGACTCAGGCTACTGGCAGGGATACTAGACCTACCAGACGTCAATTAACGTGCGGACATAGTAGCCCATTGCTATCTGATAACAAGTTGACAACTTCTATTAACTGCCGTACTAGTGTCGAGCATAGTTGGGCGCTGGTGCATTCCAAAAATAAATAAAAGCACCAAAAGATCAAAATCTGGACTATCGATATGAAGATAGCTGTTAAGGAGATCCATCATGTTATGTATTTCTGTTTCTTCAAGACAGACGAGGATTCACGGAGCGTCTGTGTGCGTAAGCGTTTTTCAAGACAAAATTTACGCACTCCAAAACGTCGCCAACGTCCCCCAAGTTGCCATCGCAATCGCTATTGCGAGCAATAAACCATCAACGAAACTGCACCTTCCATCAAGAGCGATTTTGGCCGATATAGGACCAATGACGCAGATGGTGAACGCTGAGAACGAACCAAGGAAAGCCATAAGGGAACCAAACTCTGGAACGAGGATAGACACCATAATAGACAGCGCGGCGACGAATACGCGCTCGACAACGAAGGATACACGATTCAAAAGTTGACGGGGGGTCGAAGGTTTAGTGCCCAGCTGGGGTGTGACGCCGCCATGAAATGGAGTATCATTATCTATATCGAGCGTCATTTCCAGGATGACGTTGAGCTATATAGAAGCACGTCAGTATTTTACCCCTCTAGTAAAGATGCATGTAGCTCACTGGCCGCATGCTGAGAGGGAATTTCGTGCTGTTCATAGAAGTGTTAGTGTTAGGAAACAAAAGGTGCTTCCAAAACTCACAGAGGGGTTGACACCAACGACCACAGAACGATTTCGTTGATCCAGGAGTTATAACCAGGAGTGCTCATGAGGTCCTTACTGATCTATATGGGGCGTCAAAATCTCGGGTTGCCGTCAAAGCGTTGAAATTGTACGGCTCACCTCATCGCTCACATTGCTTCCGAACATCAGGTACCCAGCATAGCCAATGATCGCATAGATGAATGTGGCAATGACCTATTGGGGGTTGGGAGACGGTGAACAATTACTTCAAAACACCCTAATCAATCTACTCACGAAAGCCCCGTTGATCATATTGTCAAATTGGGAAGGATCGACCATGTCACGGGCCAACGATGGTACCACAGCATGACCAGAGAACTAATAAACTGACAATGAGTGTCATATCTCGCAAACCGTGCGCAAGATGAGACATACACCAGCCATAAACAAGCCAATTGCGATACCAACTTCCGTCATAGAGCCTGTCCCCCATGACGTTGCAGCGGGACTCCACAGACTGCCAGGAGCATCTGGCTTGGAAAAGCCGTCTATGAAAATGACAAAATAACAAGAAGCGTTGAACAAATCCCAATCATCGAGGTATACGAGAGTATCGACAGCGGTAGGAAAACCAGTGGTGCCAGTCTGTCGTTCAAAAGGTCGAGGAACCACGAGAAATATGCTGGAAGCATAACACTTACATAACTATGGACAAGATTTTGAACGTGTCTGCAGAATATGCTGGAATGACTTCGTGCAGGGAGTCGGCAGCTAAAGTGACGAAAGCGACACTTGAAAAATAAATATCAATTCCGTGACCCAGTCTCGTTGGGGGAAAATACCACCTGACAGCAAAAAGTTCAAGACAGAACAAAGTCGTGGTTAACGCAGTCGACCTCGGACCAAACGCCTTGCGACCAATGTCGGCGTATGACCTTAAACAAGGATCCTCCAAAATGATACCAGCGAGGATTTTAGCACTGTTGCATGCAGTGAGTGGGATAACACAGTTAGATAACGCGAGTTGAACTGACGTATAGCAATTCAAGAAGCCTAGAAATATAATGAGAGCTGTTCCGCCGATCCAGCCAGCATATGCGAAGGCCAGGGACTCGGATAGCATTCCTATGCCCAACAATATTGCGATGCTGTTAAGCAACTGAACAATCAACCGTACTTAGCAGAACATTCGCGATAAAATAACAACACCTACTGTCTGTCCATAGGTACTTTGTCCTCCGTAGTTATATGATCTCTTCAGGGAAACCGACGACTTGCGCCGTAGTAAAGACTGATCTGTTGGCTCTCCGCCAAAGTACGAATCTGAATCAGGTCCCCAATGACTGACTTGATTAGATGCGGAAGATCCTTGAAGCAAAGGTGTAGTTTCATCGCTAGTTATTTGAGCGAGTTGACTTCCACCAGGGGTGATTTCCCCGATATCAACAGCCCGCGAGGGGAGGAAAGCTTGTACAGGTCGCAAGACTGGACACGAAGATTCATCTCAGCCCCAGACCTCTGTCGTGTCATCCCTAGATATTAGAGCTAACTCGCCTGGTCCTTCCTCGTCATCTTCACCCGAATCCCCGTCGCCAGATAGATCTGAATTATATGGTATGTCTGAACTGGCAAAGAATTGCGAGCGACGGTCTGCGTTTGGGGAAAGATTAACTGCAGACCGATAGGAAGGCATCGTAAAAATATAGGAGAGTCGATGAGGAGGATGGCGGATGGGTAGGGAAAGAAAATAACGTCGTCGGCCCACCTCAGTAGGTCTTTAATGGATTTGAAGTTGAAAATGGCGACAATGCCGTCAGTTCTACCGAACATGCCCGAGGAACTAGAAGCTCCGGGCAGGCATTGCGATCAATGCGGACCTTGCCGTCCCAGAAAACCATGATATGGAGGCGGTCTTCGGGGTAGCGGTGGCTTCGATCACATCAAAGATGCGTCAACACTGCATATCTCTCGTACTAGCTTCTGAGAAAGCGCACCAGTCCTGAAGTTATTGCCGCCTACATCAAAAAAAAGTTCTGAGCCGCTCTTACCCAATCCCAGATAAATGTCAGAGGAAAGTCCACCTGTCCCTGGCAGAGTAATGCATCATTGCTGCAATCCTAGCCCTCCTTAGATCTCTGATACATCAACCCCTTGATGAGTCTGATGGCATTACTTGTTATGTCAAATTCAAGTGAAATTAGTAATAAAAGGAAAGTTATTTGGTCTTGCTTGTAGCTGGAATTATTCAGACTCAGCTCACTGTCGGTCACGATGTTCACGACTTCGTTCTGCACCACCACCATCACCCTCCACAATGTCGGCTCCTAATTCTCCAAGACTCGTCGACTCGTTTACCGCACCAAAGGAAATATTACAGGAGTTCGCAGATCTTGCAGAAGAAGAAAATATCGACCCCTTCGCAGAAACAGCTTCAAAACGTCAGATTGCAGCACGGCAGTCCGACTACCACAACCGTCGCTTCAGTCGCGTTGCGCAGGAGAGCGCAGATGCTTTTAAGCAAGTAGAAGATGGTATGGAGGTGGAGGGGGGATACAAAGAGGCGATGAGACTAGCTAGGCTAGAGCAGGAGGAAGCAAGAGTCAGGCGGGCGATTGAAGAGAAAGAGAGGCAAGATAGAGAAGAGGGAAAGATGAAAATGGACCTCGACAAGACACCTCCTCGTGCCGAACTTGAAGACGTCGCCATGGAGCTTGCCGCTGCAAAGGAGCTGGCAACCTCTCGCGAAGCCACTTCTGGGACCAAACGTAAACGGAGATGGGACGTTCCTGAGCCTGCGGACGAGAACGTCGACCCTAACAAGACTGACAAGAATGAATGGTCGAAAGAATCTCTGGAGGCGTCCGCGCCGAAGAAGCGTCGTTCTCGTTGGGATGCTACTCCGGCGGAGGGTACAGCTGTCGGTGAGACACCTAAGAAATCTCGCTGGGATCAAGCTGCTGTCATTCCAGAAGCACCTATGACGCAAATCATTATGAACGCGCCGGGTATCATGCAGGAAGATAAGCATAATCGCTATCTCAGCGACGAGGAGTTGGACGCTATTTTGCCAGCCACTGGGTATGCTATCGTTACTCCTCCCCCTGGATATGCACCGATGGTAGCTCCCCGCAAGCTTATGGGTGCGCCAGTCACCGAAGTAGGCGGCTTTCATATCCAGGAAGGTTCGGACGCTGCAGCGGTGGCTGCTGCCGCTGGCCTCGCGCCTGAACTTCCCACCGAGATTCCTGGTGTCGGCAGTCTTGCGTTTTTCAAGGCCGAGGACGCCCAGTATTTCGCCAAGATTCTTAAGGAGGAGGATGAAACGGAGCTATCGGTTGATGAGATGAAAGAGCGCAAAATCATGCGTTTACTTTTGAAGATCAAGAACGGTACTCCTCCTGTACGAAAAACTGCCCTCCGCCAAATCACTGACAAGGCTCGCGAGTTTGGTGCTGGTCCTCTCTTCGACAAGATTCTTCCCTTGCTCATGGAACGCACTCTTGAGGACCAGGAGCGCCACTTACTCGTGAAGGTGATTGATCGTGTCCTCTACAAGCTCGATGACCTTGTCCGTCCGTACGTCCACAAGATTCTTGTTGTCATTGAGCCACTCCTCATTGATGAGGATTACTATGCCCGCGTGGAGGGTCGCGAGATCATATCCAACCTTTCCAAAGCTGCCGGTCTCGCCCACATGATATCCACTATGCGTCCTGATATTGATCATGCCGACGAATACGTTCGTAACACCACCGCTCGCGCATTCTCCGTTGTTGCCTCCGCCCTCGGTATTCCCTCACTCCTGCCTTTCCTCAAGGCCGTTTGTCGCAGTAAAAAGTCGTGGCAGGCGCGGCATACTGGCATTCGAATCGTGCAACAGATTGCTATTATGATGGGCTGTGCTGTCTTGCCCCATCTTCGCAATCTCGTAGCTTGCATTGCGCACGGTCTGCAGGATGAGCAGCAGAAAGTGCGGACCATGACTGCCCTCGGACTTGCTGCCCTTGCTGAAGCAGCTGCGCCCTACGGTATCGAGTCATTCGATGAGGTGCTGAAGCCTCTCTGGCTCGGTATTCGTCTGCACCGCGGCAAGGGTCTTGCTGCCTTCTTGAAGGCCATCGGCTTCATTATCCCCCTCATGGACCCCGAGTACGCATCCTACTACACAAAGGAAGTCACAGTTATCCTCATTCGCGAATTCCAAACCTCTGACGAAGAGATGAAGAAGATCGTGCTCAAGGTGGTCAAGCAGTGCGCAGCCACGGAAGGTGTCACGCCTCAGTATATCAAGCAAGACATCCTACCTGACTTCTTCAGAGCGTTCTGGGTTCGCCGTATGGCGCTTGATAGGCGGAACTATCGCCAGGTTGTCGAGACGACTGTCGAGCTCGCACAAAAGGCTGGAGTGTCCGAGATCGTTGGCAGAGTTGTGAATGAGCTGAAGGATGAAGCAGAGCCTTACCGGAAGATGGTCATGGAGACGATCACCAAAGTTGTTGCCATGCTCGGTGCTTCAGATATCGACGAGCGGCTTGAAGTCCGTCTCGTCGACGGCATTATCTATTCCTTCCAGGAGCAGACCACGGAGGATCAAGTCATGCTCGATGGCTTCGGCACGGTCGTCAACGCTCTTGGCATTCGCGTCAAGCCGTATCTTACCCAGATCGTCTCTACCGTTCTTTGGCGGCTCAATAACAAGAGCGCGAAGGTTCGGCAGCAGGCTGCAGATCTCACGACCAGGCTCGCTGTTGTGATCAAGCAGTGTGGGGAAGATCAACTTCTCAGCAAGCTGGGTCTGGTTTTGTTCGAGCAGCTTGGTGAAGAATATCCCGACACTCTCGGTAGTATTATTGCTGCAGAGGGAGCAATCGCTAATGTTGTTGGTATGACGCAGATGAATCCGCCGGTCAAGGATCTTTGTGAGTTCTTTTACTACATCATAACGTTCATAGCTAACGCTTGTTATTAGTGCCCCGAATGACGCCTATCCTCCGTAATCGTCATGAGAAGGTGCAGGAGGCGTCTATCAACTTGATTGGTCGTATCGGTGAGTATCAATGCAATGTATTCCTTCTACCGTTCGCTGACCTGTTCTTTTACTAGCCGATCGTGGGGCAGAATTCGTGCCGGCGCGAGAGTGGATGCGCATTTGTTTCGAGCTGCTGGATTTATTGAAGGCACACAAGAAAGGTATTCGACGTGCTGCTGTCAACTCCTTCGGCTATATTGCGAAGTCTTTGGGCCCTCAGGATGTCCTCTCCGTCCTTCTCACCAACTTGCGCGTGCAAGAACGTCAAAGTCGTGTCTGCAGTACCGTCGCCATCGCCATCGTCGCGGAGACTTGTGGTCCCTTCACGTGTATCCCTGCGATTCTGAACGAATACCGGACAGCGGAGCTTAACGTGCGCACCGGTTGTCTGAAGGCCCTCACATTCGTCTTCGAATATATTGGTCCCCAGTCGGCGTACTACTGTGATTCCGTGGTCACCATGCTTGAAGATGCTCTGACAGACCGCGACCTTGTTCATCGTCAAACTGCTAGCGTCATCGTGAAGCACATCGCACTCGGTGTTGCGGGCATGGGCTGCGAAGACTCCATGATGCACTTGATGAATCTTGTTTGGCCTAATTGTTTCGAAACGTCGCCGCATGTCATTGGTGCCGTTATGGATGCGATCGAGGCAATGCGGGTATGTCTTGGCCCCGGTATCCTCTTGAGCTATGTTCTTCAAGGTTTATTCCACCCGGCACGCAAAGTTCGCGAGGTGCGTCTTTCCAGGTGCATATTCTGTAGCGCATACTGATCTGATTTATTTTGCTACTAGGTTTACTGGCGCGTCTATAACGCACTTTACCTCGGTGCTGCGGATGCTATGGTTCCCTTCTATCCCGATCTTGGCGAGCTTAGTGAAGGGCAAAATGTATATGACAGGCATCCACTCCAGATGTTTGTCTGACTGGCATCGAAGGTTGAGATGTCCTTGTATGATTAGGTACTGAGTTACTTATGTTTTTATTACCATGCCTCATGTAGATGTATGCAATAATGGGTCCTGCGATATTGCGTTGGATCTCTGATGTGACATGTCACTCGTCGTAAACAGCTGCCCTTCAAGACTGCAGTTCAACTAGATTCAGGTAAAGTGATCAGGTTGAAACATTTCAGACCGGTGTATTGTAGCAATCTATGCAACGTGTGCGAGGTATTATGCGTGTAATCTAAGCAGAGTGAACAACAAGAGTATTGTAAAACCGGAGTAAAAACGATGGAAAACAGTCAGGAAGTATCAGAGCAGGTCTTCTCTAATTAGAGTACGAAGGAGGTCCTGTATATTGCGTCAGAGTCCACCCATCAGGATAACGGGACCAGGCTTACCAACAGAGCGCACAGTGTTCTGTATGGCAGATTGTAAGAACAGTTTCTCGTCATCCGAAAGGCTATCAATGATGCGAACGAGACCATCCAGTGAAGCCTTGGGGTCCTCCTCTGCAACCTCCGCAAAGTGGTTGAGTAGGTGGTCAGCCTTGAGTTTCGCCAGGGTCGGTGTGATGTTGAGCTGCTCAAGAACTTCGGTTAAAGCACGGTTGTCGGACGAGGCAGTAGCAGGGATAAGTGAATCCAACAACGCGGCGCGCTCCTCAGGCTCCATTCCTGGGTTGCAGTCTTCGATCTGGTCGAGGAGACCGGAGCGTGCGATGCGGGCTCGAAGGGCCCAGTAGAAGTACCTCCGGGCGTCCTTCCACACGGCAGGTTTCGCACAACCCTTGGCTTCCATTCGCCCAGTGCGACTATACACAAATCAGACTAAGAACATCCTTTGAGCTGGGGA